GGAAAGGGCTATCTCTTACAACTGCACGTGACTACACGCTTCAGGTTCTTCCTCACTTGACTCAACCACGAAGGATTCTGGTGCTTTAGGAATTGGTAGCCCCTCTCCATGAGGAACTGGACGTATTGCCGATGGAATATTTGGATAGTGCACAGATAACTTTTTCTTCTTATTTAGCCCTTTTGTTGGAGGCACCATACAAAAGTAACAATTACTAACATGATCTGTTGGCTCTCTCCAAATCATTGGCATAGCGAAAGGCATAGATGCCTTTTTTCCATTCAACCATTGCTCCAGTGCCGTCCCACAAGAATTGCAGCATATATGTGGTGCCCAGCTCTTGTCCTGGTCTCCTATCTTGCAGCCAAAATACAAGTTGTAGGCTTTCTTAATCATTCCTGTTATCCTCCTTTTTTGTGAGATAAAAGTTATTTCACCGCAGATATAGCAGAAATTATCTGCTTTATTCACACAAGTTGGAGGCATTACTGAGTAGCCTATATAAGCATAAAACGAAATGTAAAGACGCTGTCGAACTACAATCAGCTACAGATACTGCAGCTTTTATGCAGTGAAGTGATGCAATTAAAGGCTAATATTGCATCATCTCAGTATACATGCAATTTTCTATTGGTCACCAGTATCAATTGCGCAATATGCAGCTGAAGTTGCATCATAATTTTGAATGGCTTACGTCATTAGATGGGTGAATATATCATGGAAACTAGAGCCAATCAACATTTTTTAGGGTCATTTTCGTTTTCAGCACCCCAAAATTATGTAAGATTAGCTAATTTTATGCCCAAAACTTTTTACCTGTTGAACAGTGTAATTTATCATGATCTCAGAAAATGGTCCACCAGATGCTTCTCTTGGTTTGGAAAGAATTGTGTCCCTAAGATGAATATCCTCCTGAGGCTGCTATATCTTTTCCAGACCCTCTCAATTAAAAGGCATTTCTTAAATGCAGATAAGTTTTCACTTTCTTTCCTTGGGCCCAGAAATCTCATAGGCTATTACAATTGTTGCTGTCTCTCCCTAAACACTGAGGTGGTTTAGGATTCCAAGTTCCTTTAAAGTATCATAGAGCTGTTCATCTTGCACGGGACCTAGACTGGTGCACGAAACATAAGGCTAAACAATGGATTCAGCTGGAACAAGCAACTTTGGACATTCTGTTGGGTGGCATCTCATGGTTCCAAACAGACTTTCCTGTTGCTATTAAATTCCACCCTTTTGTAGGATATACAGCTCAACTTCTTCACACTAAACATAAGGCTATAGACTCTGAGAAATCACTGCCTCATATAACTCCACTCATAAGACACCCCATGTTTCTTCCAGGTATCACAGACCAACAGTTTCTGCCCCCTTGGGATATAAAACATTGTCAAAACTTAAACCACCGAGAAAACCCTTGCTGTTGTACTGGAAATGAAAGGAGATAGTTTTTGCACAGCCTGGGAAGCACTCTCTTGCACTTCCCCCTTTAACTAACTTCAAAAGGCTGTATATCTCTTACTCTCCAGTTAGGCATGGTCTCTCCCCCAGCAAGTTACTTGCTAGTCCTCCAGACCAACCTGACCCCACCATATATTATGAAGTGGGCATCTGACTTGGGCATCAGTTTTTCAGAACAACAGAAGACTCTCATGATGAGTTTTGCCCATACTGCATCTTTCTCAAATTACATACAAGGAACAGGCTTCAAAATTTTGACACTGCGGTAGAGGGTCCCCATGGTCCTTCACAAAATCTTTCCCCACATACCCTCTCATATGTTTTGGAGTTGTTCAGTTTTTAAACTCTTCTGGACCCAGGTGCGGGAAGTTATATTCAAACGTACGGATGTCCATTTGGGAGATGAATATTTTTCTTATTTGACCCTTATGTTGCCAAAACGCTTCAAATGGTCACTTACATTAAAGCTACTTATTCTGCTTTTCTAGAAGCAATCTACAGCTCCCCCATTCAATGTTTGGCTACATAAAATCTGAGAAATGTATAGAATGGAGGACATTCCCAACTGTGCAAATAACAAAGAAAAGTTTCAGAAAACCTGGTTCTACTGGACAGAGTACACTTTTTCCAACTGTTATGCCCCAGTGAATTCTGTTGAATGCCTTTAGGATTCTGTTGGTAGAGTTGGATACCTTGGGAGAATCCCATTTGATCAGGATTAGTCAGGGTAGGGAAGACATTAAGTAGATATCTGGCTATATTTTTTGCATATATTTTAACATCTGCATTCAATAATGAGATAGGTCTAATGTTTTGTGGAGCGTTAGGCTCCTTTCCTGCTTTCGGTATAGTGATAACAATGAATCATATGGATATATTCAGCGCTAGGAAAAATCCCCCAGTGTCACAGAAACAAACCCACCACCAGTAGCTGGAAATAACTTATCTCCACTGATAAGTCAGATATGCAAAGAACAACATTTTCCAAGAACTCTAAATAGAAACACTAAACAATCATACAGTAAATATCCTCAAATAATGCAAAAATCCCAATAAAAAAAATCATAAATGTCATTAGATAGTACCAAAAAGAATGCATACGTTGGTCCTTCTTTACAAATGCTCCTTTGTGCAAAACGCTAGTAAAATTAAATTCTCACTGAATAGTTAGACCCTTCTGAATAAATGGCTCATATCAAACATATATGATAATGGCCACCAAATGATGACCTCTCTGTTCTTACTACACACATACATAATTCTTCTTTCTTTTTTACTCTCAGAAAAGTATGGCAAACCAGAAACAATAGTAATATCCATATTATAACATTCAAACACACCAAAATATTAAAATGCAAAATTGTGCTCACATGAAATTAAAAGTGTGATACCAAATCACTTGAAAACTACATTGAATCTTCCCTGAAAGTAACTCCACCACCATGAGTTAAGATATCACTTGCTGAATTGTCCCCTCTGAGGTTTCAGGTCACAATTTCGTTAGGTTCGAATGTTCTACTGCGAATCGAACAGGGGGGTGTTTGGACCATCACTACTCCTAAGAAAGTGAACTCTCACCAGACAAGGTGACCCATGTATCTCTCAGGGTCAAAATAAGCCACTGGTATTATCCCCCTCTAGTTCTCAGGACTATTCTTCAATCCTCCAAGTAACCTTGAATATTTTCAGAGAAATGATAGGAAATGCAAAATCATGTGTAGTATTCAATAAAACCACTTTTTTTTAGGTAAAAATGAACTTACATATAGAAGTATAATTATATATATATGATGATGCGATCAGTAGAATCAAAGATGGCGTACCTGCAACTTCTGGTTCTGGTCCAAGTTCTGCTGGCACTTCCTCTGAGCATTTCATCATCAAGACTTTCTCAAGAGGGTCAATACAGAAGAAATCTGGAGATGTGTAGTAAGAAGAGGGAATGCAATATCTGGTGGCCATTCCCATATATGCCTGATGTAACCCATTTATTCAGAAGGGTCTAACTATTCAGTGAGAATTTAATATTACTAGGGTTCAACAAAAAAGGTGGATTTGTAAAGGAAGACATACATACACATTCTTTTTGATACTATCTAAGGACATTTATAATTGTTTTGTTTCTCTGTTTGTAGTACTGGGAATATATTGTTCTTTGCATAGTGATAATAAAGGACTGCAAAATCCCCAGCATAAAAGAGTCAGTTGAGGCAGCTTTAATATAGAAATCAATACGGTAAGGGCTAAATAGTTCTAAAAATTTTAGGGAGGAACTCAGTGGTAATCTTGACTCTTTTTTCTTTTTCAGCCTTGAACAGATAAGAAAGCCTATAAGAGGGGGTGATGTACATCGTATGCTGCTCCAGTGCAAGGTATAGTGCTTAACACCAGGGTTTACTCTAGCTTGAATAAAAATAATGGATTTTTTAAAAATAATAAATAATTGATGTTTTCCATATGTTTAAACATTTTTCTAAAGGTTGCTTATTCTGCATATGTGTGATGTATACTTCTTTGGGGAGAATAAGAATATTTAATGTGCAGCTTATATGGTCATCGACTAATGCTTATGATCAGTATATTTATTGCTCTTGTAATGAGATGTGTGCTATTCACTTTCATGAGATGTAATAAGTTTTCTGGAGTCTATTTCATTGGTTTTAATTAAGTCTGTACCACCCCCCTGCTTTAAGGGGGGTTGTTATGTTATAAATGTCTGATTTTTAGCCACTTTATGTATGATATGAGGAAGGCTTTGGACAAAACACGTTCGATTTTATGGATCTTATATTTTCCAATGTGTGCCTATAAAGATTCTTTAAAGAAGTGACCGAGCTGCCAGCTATGTTACCACATAAGGGCTGAATAGGGTTTTAAATGATGTATATTACTCTCTTGAAAAACCATCTGGGCCAGGAGATTTGCCATTCAGAAGGGAATCTATGGTTTTGAACATTTAATGGAGCTTTGAAGGATGTAAGCTGGGTATCAGGAAGTTTAGGAAGGTTTAATGTGGTAAGAATGCAGCTATATTAGTTTCCAATGGTTGAGTTGTGTGCAGGGGTGGACTGACAACTCATGGGGCCCCCGGGCAATAGGGGATCATGGAGCCCCTGTGTCCTTGCCCAAACTCAAAAAAGCCTATGCAAAAGGTACCAGGGGCATCTCATGGGGCCCCCTACTGACCCCGGGCCCTCAGGCAGTGCCTAAGTTTCCCAATGGTCAGTCTGCCCCTGGTTGTGTGAACATCTTCTTTTAGAATATATACAGAGCTTCAATCTCTTTGTGATTCATAATTTTATGCTTATAAGATGGTAAGATGTGAAATTTTTGTTTTTGGTCTCTGGGCCTTAACTCTTTAACCGCCTCCCGCCCGCCATTTAGTAATATGACGGAAGCAAGGCGGTTCTCTCGTTCTGGGAGGACGTCATATGATGTCCTCCCATTCTCACCGCAAATGCACGGCTCCCTTGGACATAGCGGATCACTGATCCATGGAAAGAGCCGAAGATGTCAGCTTAGTCATGTGATCAGCTGTGTCCAATCACAGCTGATCACATGTAAACAGGGAAGTTCCGGTTATCAGCATTTCTCTCCTCACGAGCTGTCACGCTGACAGCTCGTGAGGAGAGGAGAGCCGGTAATCAGCATTCCTCGGAGGGGACATCTACACAGATCATCAGAGCACTGATGATCAGTGTGCCCTGATGATCTGTGTAGCCCCAGCAGTGCCACCTGTCAGTGTCCATCAGTACCAGCTCTGTGCTCATCCATGCCACCTGCCAGTGTCCATCAGTGCCACATCAGTGCCACATTTCAGTGCCCATCAGTGCCACATCAATGCCACATATCAGTGCCCATCTGAGCTGCCTTTTAGTGTCACCCATCATCAGTGCCAGTCAGTGCCACCTATCAATGCCAGTCAGTGCCACCTATCAGTGCTGCCAATCAGTGCCACCTATCAATGCCAGTCAGTGCCGCCTATCAGTGTGCATCAGTGCTGCCTATCAGTGCCCCCTAACAGTGCCGCCTATCAGTGCCACCTAACAGTGCCAGTCAGTGCTGCCTATCCACCTATCAGTGCCGCCTATCCCACCTATCAGTGCTGCCTTTCAGTGCCCATCAGTGATGCCTGTCAATCCCCATCAGTGCCACCTACCAGTGCCTCCTCATCAGTGCCTCCTATCAGTGTCCTTCAGTGCAGCCTATCAGTGCCCATCAGTGCAACCTCATTAGCGCACATCCGTGAAGGAGACAAAAACTAAGAAAAAAATTTTTTTTTTCACAATTTTCAGTGGCTTTTGGTTTGTTTAAGAAAAAATAAAAAACTCAGAGGTGATTAAATACCACCAAAATAAAGGTTTATCTGTCACAAAAAAAATGATAAAAAATTTCATATGGGTACAGTGTTGCATGACCGTGCTGATTGAAAGTGCAACAGCTGGAAATTGGCCTGGGCAGGAAGGGGGTATAAGTGCCCTGTAGGCTAGTGGTTAAACCAAGAATTCCCCAGCCCTATTACCACTGGCATATTAGTTAGGTTTTAGGCGACATGAGTACTTATTGTACTGTTCACACATTAAGCTCCTTAATCCATACCTAAATTTGATTAGATTAGAGAAGAATACTGGATCCGGCGCTTCCTAATTTCTTTTATTTAGGCTATGAATTTCAGATAGGAGTCTATTAATTAGCTTTTTTTTTCTTAGCTCATGCACGCATTTTTATACCTCATATGTATGCCTTATGGGCATTCCAAAGAACAAATGGGTGCAATACTGAGGGAACATTAAGAGTAAAGTACTCCTGGAGATGTTAAGTAAGCATAGCAATATTATCAGGAAGCCTAATAATGTGAGAATTAAAATGTCAATAAACATACAGGTGTACAAGTCTTGTCCTCCATTACAGATATAGAAAACAGCATCATGGTTAGGCAATGTGATATCTGGATACTGGAGGAAGAGATCCATGGCAATAACCATTTGTCAACAGTAAATAAATTGACTGAGTATTAATTAGGTCTGAAGGAGAAGGTAAAATCCCTTTTGTTTCCATGTTAGAGAGAGATTGGAGTGAATGTGAAGGCCTTTTGCTAGGGGTTGTGGAGCCTGTTGCATCATTAGCAGTAAGGTTTATGTCCCCACACATTATAAGAAAGCCCTGTGTAATAGTCAATTTTGCAGATAAGTTTGTGTAGAAAATTGGGTTGATTGGGTTGTAAATTAAGAGCATACATATTCTTATATTAGGAGTTTATTTCACATAGAAAAACAATCAATCTACCATGAGCTAGAGCTAGAACTGAATCTAGTGAAGTAAAGGAAACTGTGTTTTTAATAGCAATCATGATACCCTTTTTCTAGGTAGGAGCACTTGCCTTGAAAATGTAGGAATAGTTTCTATGGAAGCATCTGGGAGTAGCAGTACTTTGAAAATGGGTTTCCTGAATACAAAGAATGTCACATTGAAGTCTGAGAGCTTTTTGCCACATTAAAGACCATGTGGCTGGATGGTTCCAGTCATGAACATTAAGCAAAACTACTTTAAATCCCATTGAGAAACCATACAAAATACATTAATTGAGAAATGTACCATAAGGTATGAAGAGTCCATTCTGTGTGAAGTGGAGAAAAGCAGTGGAGGTCCTCATGTTGAGGCCAAAAATCTTCAGAGATTGTGGCCTAAGGATCAGTAGGTCTTGTGCTAGAACAAATAGGTAAAACAGAAGCAAGTGTTAGCAATAAAGTGTTTTCTTGGGAAGATTTTTGTACCTTTCCATTTATGGGTTACCACCTATTATTATTATACAGGATTTATATAGCGCCAACAGTTTGCTCAGTGCTTTACAATATAACTGGATACAATACAGCAACAATACAGTTCAATACAAGAAGGAGGGCCCTGCTTCTTGGAGCTTACAATCTAAGAGGGAGGGGCTAGTGGTTCAAAAGGTAGTAACTATAGGGGATAAACTGGTAGGAGGAGTAGAAGATTACATTATTAGCTGAGGGCAGGATAGGCTTCCCTGAAGAGATAGGTTTTCAGAGATCGCCTAAAAGTGACCATAGTAGGCGATAGTCTGATAAATTGGGGTAGAGAGTTCCAGAGGATGAGGGAAGCTCTGGAGAAGTCCTGGAGATGAGCATGGGAGGAGGAGAAGAGGGAGCTAGAGAGTAGGAGGTCGTGCGAGGAGCGGAAAGTACGGTTTGAATGATATTTGGAGACAAGATTGGAAATGTAATTTGGGGCAGGGTTATACATGGCTTTATATGTTATTGTTAATGTTTTGAATTTTATCTGTTGGGCAATAGGAAGCCAGTGGAGGGATTGGCAGAGAGGGGTGGCAGATACGGAACAGTTAGTAAGGTTGAGTCTCTCAGCAGCATTCATGATAGACTGAAGAGGGGATAGCCTGCGATGAGGAAGGCCAATGAGGAGGGAGTTACAATAGTCAAGGCGAGAGACAATAAGGGCGTGAATAAGTCGCTTAGTAGTTTCCAAGGTTAAAAACTACCGTATCTTGGAGATGTTGCGTAGGTGAAGTCTACATGATTTGGACAGCAATTAGGTCTGAAAGGACAGATTGGAGTCTAGGATTACACCCCGTACCCTGGCATGAGGGGAGGGACTGATGGTTGTATGATTGGTCTTGATGGAGAGGTCAGGGGAGGGGGCATGGGCTGGAGGGAATACTAAGAGCTCAGTTTTGGATTGAGTTTGAGGAAGTGGAGTGACATCCATGCCAATAAGTCACTTAGTAGGTTAGTAATGTGAGCTGAGACTGAAGGGGTGAAGTGAGGAGTAAAAAGATAGATTTGTCTGTCATCAGCATTGAGATGGTACTTGAAGCCATGGGAATTTATCAAGTGACCAAGGGAGGAGGTGTAGAAGGAAAAGAGAAGGGGTCCAAGGACAGAATCTTGAGGGACCCCTACGGAAAGAGGGGAATGGAGAGGAGGAGACAGAGTTATAAGTAACGCTGAAGGAGCACTGCGATAGGTAGGAGGAGAAACAGGAGAGAGCAGAGTGTCGAAGGCCAAGAGAGTGGAGTTTTTTGAGGAGGGGGGGATGGTCAACAGTATCAAAGGCCGCAGAGAGGTCAAGTAGTAAGAGTACGCAGTAGTGGCCATTGGTTTTAGCAGTTAGTAGATCATTAGTGAGTTTAAGTAGGGCAGTTTCAGTGGAGTGTTGTGAGCGAAAGCCGGACTGTAAAGGGTCAAGAAGGTTGTTGTCAGTGAGGTAGGAGCTCAGGCGATTGTAGACTAAACGTTCTAAGAATTTAGAGGTGAATGAGAGCAGGGAGATAGGTCTTAAGTTGTTCATATTGGTGGGGTCCAGGGAGGGCTTTTTAAGTATGGGAGTGATGTGCGCATGCTTTAGAGGGGTGGGGAAGGCACCGTTAGAGAGGGAGAGATTGAAGATGTGAGTGAGAGAGCATAGGATGGAAGAAGAGGGTGACCGTAGTAGTTGTGAGGGGACAGGATCCAGGGGGGAGGTAGTGAGACGGACTTCTGAGAAAACCTTAGTGACCTCTTTGATAGTAAGTAGCAAGGTCAAAAGAGGAAAGTGTTGAGGGAGGTTTAGTATAAGGTATGCTAAGTGGGATGCATGTCTGTGCAATAGAGATGCCCCTATGAATTGCATCAATCTTGTTTTTGAAATGATTTGCAATCTCGTAAGCAGTGAGTGAGGTGCTGGGTGGAGGTGAAGGTGGGGAAAGTAGAGAGTTAAAAGTAGAGAAGAGACGACAGGGACTGGATGACAAGCTATTGATGAGAGTGACAAAGTAGGCTTGTTTGGCAGCATGGAGGGAGGAATTGTATGTTAATAAAGCAGATTTACATAGGGTGACAGCTTGGTGTGATTTGGTGTTACGCCACATATGCTCCAGCGCACGACTATGTCTCTTAAGATTTCTGGTGTCGTCAGTCTGTCAAGGTTGTAAAAACGGTCGGGGCCTGATGCTTCGTGTGGTTAGAGAAGCAAGTGAGTCTAATGTGAATGAAAGCAAACTGTTGTAGACAGCAGTGGCCAGGTCAGGGCAGGACAGGGGAGAGATTCTGTCATAGAGGTGGTCAGTTGCAGAGTAGAAATGAGAAGTTGTGAAGGTTTCTGTGGGTAATTGTTTGCTGCTTGGTGGAATAGGTATTTGAAGACAAGGAAACTGCGAAGGTGATGAGATTGTGATCAGAGAGAGGAAAGGAGGTGTTTGAGAGATTGTATAAAAAGCACTCTATCAATGACCAATTTTGTTTCAGCAATAGAAGGTAGAATATAGTGTAGAAGTTCATGGAAATATTAATGTGATTGTGTGGGCTGTAAAGATTCAGAGATGCCAAGGTTCTTTTTTGCATAGGGACCTATCTTCCAAGTCTGCCACTTTAGATTTTAACCATGACAGATTTTCTTTTTCTTTTACAAAAAGCTTTATTGAATAATAAGCAAAGATGAACAGACAATCGTAGCAAAACTTCAATGACCAACAGTTAAATATTACAATAAATGCAGGGAAGCTGGTGCAAGGCATGTATTGATAAAAGCAAAATCTGAAAAGTTTACATAGGTGCCTTGAGGGAAGGGATGGGGAGGGAGATTGGGAGGGAACGGGTAACAGACCTTTGTGGATCAATGATAATGTAAACTCCAAAGGGAAGTATTGCTACATCAACATTATAATAAACAGGAAAGGCCCGAGAAATGGCCGCATCAAAAAAAAACAGTACATATTCATGACCTAGAATTTAAAAAGAAATCTAGATTGCATAAATAGCCGTACGGATGCAGCGCGGAGAACAGCAGGTACAATCCGTAAATTATGTTTAAGGACAGAGTAGACAGAAGAGTAGAAAAAGACAAATAGTAGAGAGACATGGACAACACACACAGAAACACACAAAAAAAAAAAAAAAGGGGGGAGAGGGAAGGGCTCCGGGGAGATCACAGCAGAAGAA